TAATAATATAAGACAAAGGCTTAGGAAAAAATAACTGAAGCTGATAATGTAACAGTTTAAAGTTAAAATAAGCTTATAAAGCTAATCACTTAATTATTGAACTGGTTAGCAGATATATTGCTACACAAAATGTAGGACAGCTGAATCATGCTACAATTTAACATAATTTATTCAATATTACAAGATGGTTTTGTCTCTAATCTATGTAATTTTATTATATATTTAACTATTTTTAGGTTCTGTAAGTTAAGCCTGACCTGTTGAGAAGACGGTTAGCTAATATCAGTAGAGCATGATGACTAGTAAATATTTATTTTTTATGACAGTAAGTAATAATAAATAAACTTTATTAGTTGAAGTCATTTTTTCAACTAGCTAAAATGACCTCAGGTCTGGTTTATATCATTATTTATAAATTATATAAAAGCTGGTGAAGTGAGGACAAGACAGGTAGCACAACAGCTGAACACAAAGCCTCAGTTTTCTTACAATTAACGCTTAAAAAGTCCAAAGCTTTGATGTTGTCAAGTTGTTTTAGTAGAGGGTGGATGGAGCGAGAATTATTTGGCTACAACTGAAGGGAAAACGCAATTGTCAGCGTAACAATGGAAGGAAATATATTTTTTAAKAACAGACCCCAAAGAAAGCAAGTAGAGTTAAAACAGGAGCGGTCCAAAGATCGAGCCCTGAGGAACCCCACAGGAAAGAAGCAGTGGATTAACATCATCAACACAGAAGCTGTGAGGTTTACCCGCTCTGCCATTTCCAGGCGGTACGGAGTGAGCTGACACTTCCTGGGTTTTTTCCTGCCGCTGTCCGGCACCACGAAGCTGGGAATCCCGAGGGCCCCGGTGAAGCTGTAGCCCCACACGAACACTTTGTGTGTCTTCTTTTTGTGCTCCCCCACATACTGGAAAATCTCACCGCTGGTGTTCTTCTCCTGGGGTGGTCGTACATTGCCGAAGGTCGCATAACCACAGACCTGAAGGCCAGCAGCTGCGTGGCGAGGACACAGCCGCACACATGTTAGAGCTGCCATCTTGAAGAAAAACACCAAACAGAGAAGGTGGAGGTTCAAAATGTGTCAGATATAATGGCTTCTATACACAGCTGATAATTATTATTTTAATGCAACAAACTATAATTTAAATCCCTGATTTTTGAGACAATGTTTGAAACAACGCAATCGTGTATTTTGAAACACAAAGTTAAACTTTTAACAAAAAGGTTARGGGTTAAACAAATGACTTTGTGCTTCTATTAATATTTTGATGGTGAAATTTCCTTACTGAAAACAAAATAAAGGATTATTCTACTAGAATATGTTCTCTATTTTTATAAATGCATGCAGTAAATCAACTATAAAGCATAATAAAGAATACAATTTAATCTACTGGTTATAAATATTGAAAATCTGAGGCTCTTTAAAACTATAAAATAAAAAATAATATTCGGTTCACATGTGTAGTTATTTGTTTAACTGCAGTTTTAATTAAGAAGCATTTAGTTAATTTTTGTCAAAGTTCAACCTCTTACCTTTGAGTCTGCAACATCAGTATTTCAAAATTAATATTTTACCAACAACTTTGTTTGAATTGTAACAACATGCCGAATTATAGAAGGCCTTTTACCCACACAGAAAATGTAAAGAACGTGTTCTAATTAAACCGTAATATCAATAGCGTTTAAATTAAAATAACATAAAGGAAGAAACGGAGTTTCGCGGATTTCTTTTTCCATTTCACGCATGTGCAGCAAACTTACCTTCAATTTTTCTAAGCGGCGTTTTATCGCGTCCAACCACTATTTAAGGCTCTACAGAAATAAATGTCGATGAGCTGATGTTATATGAACACGTTTCTGTCAGTACTGCTCATTTTGAAATAAATTAAATAAGCAAACATATATTTCCGGGACAGCTCTGCTCGCAGTGGATATGTCACATGTTGACGTCACAGCGCCCCCTGCTGGAGCGGAGGTAAAACAACAAAAACAAAAAACATAATATTTCCGGGACAGCTCTGCTCGCAGCGCCCCCTGCTGGAGCGGAGGTAAAACAACAAAAACAAAAAACATAATATTTCCGGGACAGCTCTGCTCGCAGCGCCCCCT